GACAGCCCGCGGGAAACGCGTTAATGTAATTGCCGCGTATTTTCAGTAATATTCCTGCACGGTGAGCGCGCATTTTCCGACGGGCCGAGAATCACGGGCTCTAATACGCCCTATTTTGATATTAATTAGCGGTAGTACCTGTCGCATCATTCGGAGATTTCTACGTGCGATGAGATTGATTGAAGCGACACGCGGGCTCCCGATGGCCGGTTCGACGCTCTTTCTCCGTACCTTCGTGGCTTGAAAATCCTACGAATAAATTAATTACCACCGGCGGTAGAGCGGCGCGGTGACGGCGCTCAGAAACCCTCTTTCATGATGTCGCGATGCATCGCTCGCTCCAGCGTCGAATCGATTTTATAATACGTTCGGTAGTCAGTAACGCGTAATGTTATTCAAATCGCATGCAGATTGCTCCGTTATCGGCTACTTTTTCAATTACGACGTGGCGGGCTATAAAATGTAATACCGACACCGGGAGCGAAACTTTTTCTTCAAGTTATCTGAGCCGAATAGCTATAAACTTTAAGTATGAGATATTGGCGCATTTTTCTGCGGTCGGGTCTGTTCTTAATATCGAACAATTCCTTCGAATGCTGACGCTCGTCTTTATTACGAAATTACGTTACGCGTCGTCCGTATCCTTGATTACGGCGTACTTTTTGACTCTCTACAAAATGACTTTATTGCGCGACGCGAAATGCTTTCCCGCGTGTTGCACAGAGAATTTCACGCGGATAGCTTCCCTAGGATAAGCGTCCTGAAAGTCTTTGTCCTACGCTAGCATTTTCATTTCCACCAGTAGTATCTCCTTCTTCCCCCGGAATGCCACTCTCGTTCACCTCTCTTTCTCTCTCTAAAAGCGGTCCGACATTCATTTCGCGGGATGCAACGGCGGCATGCCTCGCTTTTCGCAATCTAATTTTCACCGGCGTTTAATCTTTGTGTACACTCCGGCTCGCGTGCAACCCGGCCGCGCGCGAGAGACTCTCAGGAAAGGGGTGGCGGATGGCGGGCACGTGCAAGCTTTTTCAATATTTTTCGAGCGGAGCTATTACTCCCACCTTGACAACGTGCCTCTACACCACTCCTCCCGCATGCTTTTCCTTTTATCGTTCCCAGCGAAATCACATTCATTGAACCCCACCGCGATCTTTTCATCGACTCGCCGGAAATGATTTACGCGCCGAAAGGAAATGGTAGGCACGGAGGAATTTCAAATAGATAAACGTCAGCGACTAAAGTGAATTAGCCCGTAAATATTCAATGGGATTTTCGAGCGCGCGCCGTAATGCGTTTTATCAAAAATATTGCCAGATTAAATCTCGCCACAATTGGACCGAAATTCATAAAGACTATCCCATTGTATTTCCGACGTATATTTCCAGCTAGCAGTCACGTATGATAAATCAATTATTGGAATATAATAGGTTAATAGCCTGTGCTAGATACGTTTACGACTGCAGCCAATGAATGTATGCGCGCGCGTTCACCAGCTTAATTTCGATCTGTACAGATGAAACAGAAATTAGCTGGACGTTCTCAGTCGTTTGCATATGTAGACGCTTTGCGATCCTGATTTATACGCCTGATTTATACGCGATCATTCCAACAATATTATCCAATTTTCTAGACGAGAAACATTATTTAAAACATTACCGAGCAGTCTCACCATTTCAACGAGCATTGAAAAACAGTGCAAATAAATACATGTGTGAATCATCCGGTCAATTAAATAAGAAAAATGGAATATATCGGCACTTTTAACTCTACTTTCACGTTTCGGATCGGTGACTGAGTCCGATGGTTTTAGTCGAGATGTTCTTCCGTCGTAAGCGATGAAAAACCCTCCTATCTTCCCTCTGTTTCCCTTTTCATTCTTTTAATCGAATCGGCCAAACGGTCACTTTTAACGGCGGAAGATCGAAAACCGCTACACTCGGGAAATAGACTCGACATTCACTGTGTCGGAATTTAACGAGTGCATCTAGCATCGCTCGTCCGTATAAAGCGGGAGTTTCGGAGATTCTAGCCGTTCGAAAATAACGTTCGGTTACGCGCGCCGTAAAACCTTTTCAAACTTAACGACGTATGATTCAGCAGAAAGACAAAACTCGATTCGGATGCTTCGTAAAATATCACGGGATGGTTTTTCGTAATATTATAAACGCGATTGTTTTCGCATACCTCGTGCGAGTAATAAAAGATGCATTTCGATTAATTAACGAATCACTTCGACTCGTTAACGTGAATTATTATATATCCGTTTACGCGACGGACGACATAATAATTACTTTATCCACGTATAAACACACGGTATAGTTCTTTCGCGACACGGGCGTGTAAAAGTCATATATCGGATAAAATCGTAGGAAATTGTATAAAAAGCATCGTCGCGAATAAGTCGCGTCGGTGCGCACGTGCGAGTGTGTGTACGCGACAGAGGCATGGTCGACTAATGGACCTGTTACGAGCAATTCCGGTAGAACGACAATTGCGCGCGGAGGTACAATGCGTCCGGATAAGTGTAATTCCGAATGCGCAATTCGATCAAAAATTACCCGTGCTTCGTCGGCGGAATAATATTTAGCTTAAATTACGCCGCGCGCGTACGTGCGTGAAGTGGCGGCCAAGCTCGGTTTGCAGATTAGAGTGGTCGTACCTGTCAACTGTGGAATCCTCGAGTCTCTTGTACATACGCTTTCCCGCGCATTTAATTTTTCATCGCGAGACCGACGAACTCGTCCCTCGGTCACATTTTTGTTTCCGTTTCTTTCCCGAGGAACCTTCGTAAAATTAGTTTGCACGTTTGTTTCCCTTCGTCACATTTGCTCCCTTTAAAAATTCAAAGCTCGTCGTTGACGAAACTTATTCCATATATTTTATACCGCTTTTATATCCCCTCTTCTTCACGAACTAAAATATTAATCGATATTTCCTGTAGTATCGCGATTCGTTACCTCTTCCGAAGATGAAAGTCCTGTGCGCTCGTTGAAAACGGAAAGTGTTCGTTGCACGACGTCGCGTTCGACGCGATAAAACGCTATTACATATATTTCCCGATATATGCTTGCTTTAACGCCCGATAAAGACTGCTACTTTCGTGATACGACGGATACCCGACGGTTTAAAAGCACTCCAATAAAATGGTCGCGTGGGATCTCACGAAGCGATTGCGCTTCGGATTAAAAAGTTTTTTACCGCGTGTGCGGTGTACTCCGACGTCGTAAAAGTACGTCTAATGATCTAAAAAGAGGAGAGAGGCCGATGCCGCGGCAAGCAGCAGACGGCGAGTTTATCGCGCACCCGTTAACGCTCGTCGGACCGACACTTTTCGGCCGTGAAACGATCGTATAAACGCTCGCATTAGCCCGACAGCGCCGAGATAAACATTCCTTTAGCACCTCGGCTGGAAAATCACACATTTTATTATTATCCATTAGTCTCGCACTCGCGGGACGGACGATAAAATCGTTTCGGCGCGCGGACCGCCAAACTGGAATGAAAAGCGCACGAGTCTCGAAGAACGGCGTTACGTTCGGCCATAAAGAGATAAGATAAAAACTGCGCACGATATCGACGCGGAAAAGCCGCTCATAAACGACGCATCGATTTCTCGTTCGGCCGGATCGCAAAATTCCGAGACCAATTTAGCACGACGATAGCGCGCGGTGCCGCTCCGTCGCTCTCCCAGGGCGAATCTCTTTTACGTGCGTACGTTCCCCCGTTACGAAGGACGCCACAGCGAAGCGGCTCGACAAAGGAACGCGTCACGTCCATCCATCTTGCACCGGCCGTCTCTTTATTCCCGGGTTAAAAGCGGCGGAGGCAGTTTGGACTTCCCGCCGCACTAAATCCACTAATTTCGGTCACCGACTTCTGGCCCGGTGCATTCGTGCAGCCGCCGCCGTCGCGATCGATGACGGGAGAGATACGGCCGACGAGTATAAATTTCGCGAGCCCAATCAGATCGGACTTTTACGACGTTAATTCGTAGAAGGCGGCAAACGGAAACCCGATACAATTATCGGGGACGTTATTCTCGAGATCTTTTTCGAGAAAGGTGCGGACTCCCTCCCTCCACGCTGTCCGAGTACCGCGATTTTTCGGATTCCGCGTGAAGCTCTCGACGATCCTCGACGTGTCGTCATCCTTCCGGATTTTAAGCAAAACCTACGAAAGCCATTCCAGCTAAATGATGAAAAGTAGACTAATGACCCGAATTGCGAGAAGTAGACTAATTACCACGGCAGCCGACGCGGAAAGAAAATATCTGCGTAACCGAGCGCTGCAATTTTCCTTTGCAAATTAACGTTTTCCACGCCGACCGGGCGAGCGCAACCGAGAACTTTTTACTTAAATTTCAACAGTGAGAGATACGTTGAAACGCGCAGTTTTCATGAACGTAGGATTTAGTTTTATACGACTTTCCTTGATTCTTTATGGAAAAATCACGCGATCTCCAGCGCAAATAGGTGAAATAATCTTAACCCGGGTGCAGTTCCACAATTTCACCCTGCTGAAATTCGGCGCTGAATTCTCCGAACAAGGGTATTGATATTTTTACTGCGCATAAAATTCATAACTCCTTATTTCGCGCGAATAAAGACCTGGTATAAAAGAGATTACGCGAATGATACATGTTGAAAATCACATTTTCAGCGCGAAAACAGTTTTGTGTATCTGTGTCAAAGCAACAAAAGAGCGCAGCGATGGAAATAGTTTTATCATCGTTTGTAAGAGAATATTTCCAGGTCATAGTTAAGTTTGGCGATGAACAAATGTCAAATAAATGTTACGGGAAATTTTTAAGAGCACTCGCAGCGCTTTGTACGGTCGAGAAGAGAAAGACACAAAGGAAAAAAAATGTATTTCTGTTACACGAAATGAGTCTAAAAGGGCGTTCGCGCCGCGTGACTACCATACCACGTAGGGATAAACGACAATCCTATTGTGAGTCCGGTCTAATCAGAGAATCCCCCGCGATCTTTTGTTCGCAGGTCCACCAACGATCCTGGTGAGGCCACAGTCGCAGCAGGTGAAGGCGGGCGGAATAGCGAGCTTCTACTGCACTGCGGAAGGCGCGCCGCCGCCCCAGATACACTGGCGGAAGAACGGCAAGAAAATTTCACGTGAGTTCGCACTTTCGATTCCACCACCCTCTTTCTCGATTCGTATCTCCGGATCCGTCCGTTGAAAATGCGCGCTCCTCCGCGGCGTCCCGATCCCGCGCGTCTTCGGGATGTGGAACGACCGCAGCCGCCATGAGAATGGGCGGAATGAAAATTTTATCGAAATTAAAAAGTCCCGCGACCCAGATTCCCCGCTCGCTCGAGCTTTTCCATCCACCTCGTCGCTTCTCACCCGCGCTCCCTCTCGTATTTTCCCTCCTTGTAAAGTGCATTTTTCGTTTATCGCCGCGCGCGTCTCCCTTTGCCCCGACCTTGTTACGGTTCGTGCTTGTTCTTTCCCCAACTGATTTTCACGCTCGTAGCTAACAGGAATCAACCGTTGGATTCCGTGGCGTATCGCGGGTGCATCCGATTTTTTCGTCGAAAATATCGCCCTAAAAATGTCACGTCTTCTGTTAGAAATTCGCGATGCGAAAGCTACTGCGGGTGGTAATCGCGTAAACTAGTTTTATCCGCGAGGTATTTTCAACGAAACGAGCGACTTATCGCGAAATCCGCAGCAATTTGGATCGCACGTTCGAAAGGTAGCATCAAATCCCGCGAGGCGATCTCAGTGACGACGCCGCGACGGTTTCGCATAATGTTCGGGCTGATCCGCGGAATGTATGTACCCGAGCGATCACGTCGGTCCACATTCGTCGACGACTCGACGATCCGACGAGATAATGGCCAGCGACCGCTTGTAACATTCTGAACGTCAATTGATGGCGGCGGAGAGAGGACGATAACAGGGATGACCCAGCCGCTCGAAATTTATACAGACGCGCGATCCAATTCCCATTCAATATTTCTCAGTCCGCGGAATTGGATACGAGAGGACACACATACCCCCTTTTATTAGATTCCGCAACGGCGCAATTTTCGATCTTATGCGAACCGCCGATCATTTTCGCGCGCTCTCCCGACCGGCATTCTCTCGCCTTTTGTGGCGGGTGTATTCCTTTTCACGGCGTGACCGTCCGCCTCAATCTTCCGTCTTATGTCGGCAGAATCCCAATCCCGGTATGTGGTGCACCCGTATGAAAATGGTGCTTTACTGCGGATCGAACCTGTCAAGCCGCAACGCGACAATACCAACTACGAGTGCCTAGCTGAGAACGGAGTCGGCGACGCGGTTTCGGCCGAGGCGACACTCACCGGTTACGAAGGTAAGTGAACGAGTATTCGCTTCATTCATCGAGATGAGCCGATTCTACAGTGAAAGTAGACGATCGTTTTGACTTTTTTTCCTCGAAGTCAAATGCACGCGTAAGTAAAGGAGAAATCGTGTGTCACTTGATGGAAAGGAAAAGTGAAACGCGCGTTCAGAACTGAAGAGTGTGCTTGCACATGATGTATGCGCGAAGAGAAGAAACATACGCACGCTACTCAACCTTGTCGCTATATCGTATCTTGCAATGGCGTCACGTGAAAGAGGAAGAAATGAGAGCTCTTATACGCCATGCGGCATAATTTTCGCTGTCAGGCTTAAAAGGATTAGGTTATACGATACGCTGGTAAAGCTGGTAAAGCTGGTTTATCTTTTTGCGTTATTCCTATCGGATGATTTCGAAGAAGGGCGCGCCGAACTCGCGGCTTGTATTTTATAACAAGCCTCTTGTTTCTCGGCAACAATTTTTTGGCGACGGCACAGCGTAATAACTATTAGCGTTATCGGGGTGTACGATGTCGCGTTTAATATTTTAAGGTAGCTTCCAGGACAGCTGCCACCGTTTGGTAACGTTCGAAGCTTTAAGCTTCCTATCCTGCAGAGTTTGACTGCACTGCGCGGATAACGGCTTTGAAACTGTTTACTGATTTAAACCTCGCTTAAACGTACTTTCATGCTCCAAGTCGCCGATATGGACGATGTATCATTTATCATTAATACTGGATATCGTAAAGCTGTCGTATAATACTTTGATAACGCATTCTGGAGCTTAATCAAGATCGAAAAAATAAGACGAAAATGCTCCAAGTTGCAGTAACTTTCGGGTTATAAATGATCGAGCTTGTCCATTTGTAACTTCGCAACTAAAAGCGAATAAACATCGCCTCTCGCGCGATCCGAAATCTTTGGAGCCGCGGCAAGATGCGGCAAGGTAAATCCGTCTGAAATAAAACGGAAACTTTGCTCGCATCTTTCCTTTACCTCTCTTTATTTATGCGACATTTGTACGGAGAAACGGGCGGCATAATGGCGTTTAATTCGGCGACCAGACGGCAGGCGGCGTAATGAAGGGAAAAACGCCGCGAAATCTTACCCTTCTCCCGGAATCTCGCGAAACTTTCGCGAAACAATTTAATTGGCTTGGCCGCCCTTTTTAATTCGATTTCGCCTCGTGAATATTTCTGCTCGTAATTCGCGGTATTCCCTCCGTAGCAGAAGAACAGAAGTCGTCGGGCTGTCCTTACCGCCCAACGCTTCTTGTCCACTCGTGTTTTCGACCTTTCTTTATTCCGTCTTGTTTCCGTTCGTTCACACAGTCGTGATCCAATATGCACGTCGGGCAGTTTTTTTTTTTTTTCATTTTTTGATCGTCGGGCATTTCCTGCCAATGCTGCTCTCATCCGGCGGCCGGGCCGGTCGCTCCTCGTAAATCACGGATATTCACTTGATTCTCTGAAACCTCCGCCACGATTTCAATTTATTTGTTGTAAAGTTGATTCGGCCAGATGAGCGCGTTCCCACAGGCGCAATAATATGCGCACGCGCGCGGGTCACCGTGAAATCAGCATTCGTCAAATTGATCGACAGTTTTCGTCGCGCGGCCAGTTTTATTCCTGTTTTATTTGCGTATCATTAATGCGCGTCGACCGAGCAAGCCTATATGACGCTGAAAATAATTTCGCCGGCGATACGTCGACCGCGTCGCGGTGTCGTCATTCTACGCGCTCCTGCTCGCTCGCGGAATAATTCAGCGAGCTTTTGCCGGCTGGTCGGAGGAGAACTCTTTTTTAAGGACGCACGGGAAAGCTTTTTCATGAAAGACGAAGTTCATTCTATGTAATCGCGAATTAAAGGTCAAATTGAAATTGTACGCGGCGAAAAGGAGGTCGAGGGTGCGCGCACGCTCGCTCGCTAATTACACACTGAATCGCGAGGCATACTGTAAGAACACCAAGCGCGTCCCTCGCTCGAGAGTTGACGCGATTAGGACGCTGCGTGCTTTTAAGCCCACGAATTTTCCTTTCCTTTTTTTCTCTCGCTCCCGTCGCGAAATCATCCCTTCCTCCTCTTTCGTAGAAACTATTTTTCGCGTTCGCGAGTGTGCTACCGATGATATCGACCACCTTGATTACCGTCCGGAAGGAACAACGTTCTTTAGAGGAGCGATATTTTCGCGAGGCACATGCGCTTCCCTATTTGCCGGTAAGCTCATGTCGGCCATATCGACCGTACACCGCGCAAACTTCGTTATCCAATCCATTGATACGATAAATACCTGCAAGCTCGCGGTAAAGCCTCATTCGGATAATGCGATTAATTGTTAGCCGAGGCATGTAATGATATAATGACGTAACGATCGCGCGCGGTTATATGATACGCGTATTCAGAAAACAAAAACGCACCAACGATTGGCCGGATAATTGAAATATGGACCGGAGCGCGCGGCCGGTCTATATTTGTTCAATTTGTTATGCTTCTGTCGGCCGGCTATGTATTTTTGACAATTAGGTGACATCCTATCAAAAACAATAATTATACGTCGGCACGCGCGTGTCGTGCGGTTATTCCAGTTAAGGGATTAAATTTACTTGCAATTCATCAAACTACATCCGCTACTCAGAAGTGTCATTCGATAAAGCCGGGATATCCCGTGCGATATCAACGTATTCGACGCTGCATTTCGGGTCTATTCGCGATCACGTCCCGCGTCTGTATCGGGCAAATTGAACGCTTGTAAAACCACAATAGCGGCAATGAATGCGAAGTGATGCGCGAGGAACATCGGATATAATGTAAGGATCAGCGGGCATTACGGGAAACACCCCCATCGCCGTTGTAGAATTTTCATGAGAATTCGTTCCCCGTCGTGCGCAGCACTGCCATTCTTTCTTACGGCAAAAATCTGAAAACCATTTCGGGATACGTGGCCGGAAATACTACGGTATACTGGTTTTCGTTCGTATCATTGCGGTTTTATTCCGCAACTTTTCGCCGCCGGTCGTAATTGCATCCTCGATCGTGCCGCGAATTATTTTTATTCGTTCATATCGAAATTACGATTGCATTTTCAATGGCGCGCATCTCCGTGGAAAAGATGTTGCAGTTCGGAATGCACGTGTGCAAAGTTTGCTCGACACAGATAAGTTCTTCTTTTTCTTTGTGTAGTGTTAGTTTCGAGAGCTATAAACGTCGACATAAACGCATTCTGAAAGGAGCAAAGAACCGGTATCGATATTTCAGAAACATTGCGAAAGGAAACGTCTGAATTTCGAGCAAGAACACCGGACAATATGTGGATTCAATGCGTTTGCGCGCCACAGCAAGTAATAAGACAAAAATTGGTCGATTTACGTGAGAAAACGACACGACAGTTCCTCACTCCGGGATTCCCCGAAGCGCGGCTGTACTTCTTGCGCGTGCACGACAAAAACTCGGTCGTTGAATTATTGGTTGCGTTTCTCTCGACGGGATAATGTCGTTTTCCGGTGACGTGTCTTGGATCGATGTTCCTTCCCCGCGAACAAAACAGACCCATACAAAAGTTCCGAAAGTATCAACTACGAGCGTAAAACACGTTCGATTTCGCGAGGGATAAGTCGTGGTGAGAGACGGGTAGAGTCGCGCTTTCATTCGAGGGGCGCGATTCATCGCGCGCAAAGTATATTAACCCCTGCGGATGATGCTGTCCCAATTTCGCGTCCTATAGGAAGCTGAAATTAAATTTGCACGAGGACTAAGTGGCGTCTTTGGTTCCCGCGTCGGGCGAACTATCCACTTCGTTCTGCACTCTCCGCATCGAAAGTTGGCGGGGAATTGCTCATCTCCTCTCGAAACTCTTACGAAATAATTCTTTCGGAGCGCCGTGTTGGCCACCGTACCGGCAGAAGCGGGCAACGATCCCGTTTTAATTGCCGCCGTACAATCGGCGCCCGATGTAAGAACGCGACGGACGGTCGACGGTATTCAAAATGGAAATTGCGTTAAATCCTGCACAGGCGCGAATAACGAATGAACAATGCTTCTACAGGGAAACGCCGTGTTACCTTGTTCCTTCCGCTTTGCCGCAGCTCGCACAGCGGTAATTAAGAGCGCTACGAACGCGGGGATTGATGCGTTCCGATAACAATGGCATTATTTTAATGAGACGTTGTAATATTCATTTAAATTTCTTACTTCTGGCGAGTACGCTTCTTTCGTCTTTGACGATCTAATCTCGTCGATCGGAGAAGCGAGTCGTGCAATCGATTTTTACAGTCCAGTGAACCGCCCTTTTATTTACGGATCAATTTGGAGCCGATTTCTCCTCGATCGAAACGAAAAGATGGCTTTCTACGTCTGGAATATGTACACGCGCATCCCCGTTATTTATTTCACGAGTCAACACGGCCCCCTCCTTCCGTTATTATTTAATTACATCGCCCAACTTTCACCATAACGGTGGAAGCTAACGATTTTCAACTTTTGATTCGGCCGCAGCGAGAAAGTGCTCCGACGAATGCAAGACGCGGTTAAATTTACGCTAATTGTTTTGCCGTTCGCTTCAAGTTTCAAAACTGCGACGGTCCGCTAAAAAGTCCGCCGACCAAGGAACTAAGCGATCCGGAATATTGGTTAAATCCGATTCTTAATTAACAAGCCACATCGAGATTTCTTTCTGTCGTGGCAGCTCCCGGTATCTGACTTTACGTCGTCGATGCGATTCGCCATCAGCGACTTTTTTGCCGGCGGGCGCTCTCGTCGGACGCGTAAGAAAAATCCCGAAGAAAACAACCGGATCTCTCGCCTCCCCTTTCCTTCGGTTCTCCGCGAGAGAATCCGTTCTCCTTTTGGGCGGGGTAGTTCGGACGGAACTTTTGCCAAGTCGGGCGTTTTAATTCGAGAAGCGATCGAGCGCGCTGGGAAAAACGAGTCTACGCGGAAACTAAAGCCGCCTCGATAGACGTCGTAAATAAGTGCCGGGCGCTCCCGATCGTATTCGCTATATGGAAATGTTGACTC